TTAAGGGGGAGAGGAAAAAAAAACAGCTAGACAAAGAGATGAGTTGGAATGAGTTATCATTATCTAGTTTTGATACTCAAATTAAGAAACATGAACCTGAAGTTCATAAGATGAATTATCATTACCAACTATCAAATGTCTTTACTGACCATACAAAGTGTCCAAGTCATATATACTAGCTGTGAATGCTCCAACTAAATTTGATATCCTTGTTGGATACTCTAATATGAAAAATGTGTCTAAAAGAGCGCATGAAGTGTGATAGACCAATCGGTTCCAACGATAAACATCCTCGAGAAAAAGAAGGAGTTGTGATTAGAATGGTCAACTCGAGGACATGAAAAATCAAGAAGAGTAACCAATATTATGTATAATTTTAGTTACAGAAGAACATATGTCTCTGAAAGCTGTGAAAGCGAAGAGATCTCAAAACATATTGGACTACAATACTGGAACCGTAATGAAGTCATTGTCGACGAAAATTGTTATACTTCAGTACTGAATATGATATATACAAGTGAGGATCAAGAGTAAAACTCTATTGATGCATGCAAATGATGATGTTATTGGCCAATATAGAAAGAAATCATGAAACTTGCTCAAGGAGCATAAAGTTTAAGGACCAGAAGTCCTTGCACCTAAAAAAGGGCAAAACTAGCGGGATACAAACAAATTTTTGTCATATTGGAAAGTATGAAATTGTGAGAGATATAGCACAATGTTTTGCAAGGGTTTCTCGAAGAGACCTATCATTGTTTAAGAGGAGTTATACTCCCCTGTGGTGGATGCAACTACTTTTTCAAATCAATGTTTGAAAATTGTTGTGATAGCCTATTTGTTTGAATTCCCCGAAGATGTTAAATATATTTGAAACTCCCAGAAGGATTAATTACTCCTAGAAGGATTAATTTACCTGAAGTAAACAAGTAAAGTTCTCGAGAACATATAATGATAGACTAAGAATATCCCCTGCATGGGTTGAGAAAATATAGACGAATGTGAAATACTCGTCTAAGTGATGACCTACAACAGTGGGGTGAATGGACCTTAAAAGGTTAAATCCGGATAGAGTGCATTAGAGCATTTGCATTGTGCATATATAGTTGTGTTGTTTGTGTGTGCTTCAAGGATTTTGAAATCTTGGTTTATGAGTTGTGTTTTACTTTAAAGTATGAGTTGTGTTTTATGATTGTGCTTTCTCTAGTTCATATGTTTCTATGATGTGAGTTTTGTTATTATCTTTCGTTATGTGAAAGAATTGCTTGCATCAATTTGTGTTAGTTAAGTTTTTTTTTTTTTTTACGTCTCATATTATGTTAGTGATATGACTATTAAATTGAAGGATTTAAGATCCTTTTGATGGGCAAGGAAGGTAATGTTGAAAAAGTGGGAAAGTAATTTTGCATGAACGAATTGTGTTCATCAAATAACATTAGGATCCTAAGATCACTAGAAGTGACCAAAGATCACTAGAAGTGACCAAAGATCCATTTAGAAATCAAGAAAGAAGTGAAACATTAGGTCCTGAAGTACCATATGTTGATGCATTAGAGCACCAATGCACCTTGCTAGCCAAGCACCATATAAACTATCATTTTGGTGTTGATAATATTGGCAAGATACAATGTTTTCCTCATTAGAACGTTGGAAGATACTTTGTTACCTCCAGGAACAAAAATGCAATTGTTCTATTATGGTATTATCAAAGAGAGATTTGGTAAACTATATATCCAAATCCTATATATCATTTGATCCTTATATTGGTTGATCAGAGACGAGCTATCTCTTACATATGGTGATATAAATGTTTCATAAAGAAACAAAACAAACTATAATGGGCAAGTCCCGAATGTCTTTCGTTACACTTTGTGATCCACCATATCTCAAGTACTTGTGGTTGTGAACTATTTTCAAATGAAATGATCCTCACGATCATGTATGAAGAAAATCTAAAGATCATGCATCAAATTGACCATCTAGAAGATTGTTCACTAACTCACTCCCGACAACAATCTTTCTAAAAGTTGTTCGTGAAATTTGAGCTCAACGACTCAATAATCTGAAGTGATGTAGTCATGAGAGGGAGCATATACGCACTGCACTCTTTTTCCCTTAACCATGGTTTTTTCCCAATGGGTTTTCCTGGTAAGGTTTTTAATGAGGCAGTATGATATAGCGTAATGCAATCTAGTGGTCATCCAAGGGGGAGTATTATGTAAATATTAATATATGGATGACCAATGACCTACCACATTAGATGCTCACTTGGGAGTTACATGTAACCCCTATTTCTACATTATTATCTCTCATTCATATGCATTGATATAAGGATGTAGTGGTTACCAAAGTGTGCCTATAAATATAGCACACCATTGTATCAAAAGTGAAGAATGAATAAGAAGAACTCTTCCCCTCTCTTCTCTTGTGTCTTTTCCTCTCTAATCTTCTCTTGTAGTTGTTTATATTTTCATTAGTTTCATAACATCTTCTTTATTATTAATTGTGTTGTGCAAAAAGTTGAGAATGGAAACCAACCGATCCTATTAGATCCACTAGAAGAACTCAAACAAAATCGTACAAACATTGATATTTTAGATTCGCAATGGTCAATCTAATCATCTTACGAAATTTCACGGTTTAATTTTGAAAATTCTAATTGGGTAATCGAATCGGACAAAATGGGGTGTATACAATGTGTATAATATACTCTTGATGTCGATCTTCCTTCCAAAGGATGAAATATGGGCTTCAATGGTGGTATCTCAACTCCAAATAGCTCTTGAGACTTGTTCTTCGTCACTTTCTCTCTTTAAAACTCTGTTTTGGCTCTCAAAAGTCGGATCCCTTTATCTTGGCTCGAAACTGCCCATTTACCCCAAAACTGGGCAAAACACGATTGCCAGCACGCCCATGTTCAGCTTCCGCCCGTGCTTTAACTCAGTCAACGACTTCACTTAAGCTTGGGACGAGAGGAAACACGACCGTGTTTCTTAGCTTCCCTCATGCCCGTGTTTTGCAATTCATCTGCACTTTGCAGCATTCCTCTCGTCGTAAAAAGCAGGAGCAACTGCACGGTGAAACACGGTTGCGCCCGTGTTTCCCTCTAGTTGTCTCCTTCTTCGCCAAACGATCTCCATACAACCCAAAACTTGCGCATAAGCCTCCTTTTATCTTCTAGGACATGAAATGCGACACAAGAGCACAACTTAGTGTAAAATGGGACAAGAAACGCATAAACCCAAGCCAAAATTATCCAGAAACGAGGGTGCCAACATGTGCAAATATGATGTTATCAGTTTCCGAGTCTGACCCAAGGTTTTCCATCTTCAAGCACCCACGACAAAAAAATACCTCAATTTGTTCATTTATACGAACATATATGCCTAGATTTTCATGTGACTTCTTTTATCAATTGAGCATGAGCGTATTTAGGAAATACCAAGATAACTTAGTTAAATAAACATACAAATATAATTTTCCACAAGCATCAACATGATTCTTAGTTACATGGAATTTTCGTGTATCTTGGTGGTACAAGAGTAAACAATATTGATATGTTTTTGGCTCGACTCTAACTACACATCCCAATTGAAGGAGAAGTATAACCGACGACCGAGTGAAGCATAGGGTAAGCAAGCAATAAAAATTTATCGTACCGAGGGGATCTAAACTTACCTTACTTCAGGTTTAGGGTTCGTTATCTAGCCAACCTAGGATAGTGATTAAGAAGATAAACTAACTAACCTAGCTAACCACTAACTGGCTATTTACAAGGCTGGAGCTCTCTTAGGATTGAATCCCCCTAGTTCCATCATTTGGAACGATGTTGAGTACAATTCCTGCTTAATCGATTCATTACTCTGCCATTAGGAGATAGACTCCCTCGAGATCGACCAGGAATGGAAAATCGATGGATGGGTAGGTGCTCTATTCAACCTAGGGGTTCATATATCGCTAGGAGACCAATCGAATTAACTCCCTCAGGTATTACCCGAACTATATACGAAAGGAGTGACCCAAAGACGCCAATAGTGGGCTCCAAGGGAATTTTCTCCCTTCTAGGTCAAAAGCTCAATACATGAAAATGGAAACCCAACTCATGTCATTCATTAAAACATCACACAATTAATTAAAATTATCAATCAAACATTGGAACTTGTCACATACATCAAAATAAAACCAAAACCTAGAGATAGGGTTCTTAAACATAAGAGAAGAGGGCAAGCTTCTAGACGGAGAAGAGAGAGATTACAAATTGGAGCACTAGATCTTCTTCTTCTTCAAGGCTTCATTCCTTGCTTTCAAGCTTGATCAATGCCTTCAATTAAGCTCCAAGATAACTCAAGAACTCTCTCTCTCATTAGAACTCCCCTTTGGTGTTTTGGGTCGAAACTCTAGAGAGAGAATCAATTTCTCCTCCCAAAACCAGCTCTCCTTTCTCTCTCCCGATGTTGTCTTTATATTTGCCTGACAATGCCGACTTTATGGTTACTGTTCACGATCGTGATAATAGCAGGCATAGGGTGATCTTGGCGAAAAATGCACTATTTGGGGCCATTTTCAAGTATGGGGTGATTTTCACAGTCTCTGGACCGTGAAAATCATGAGGCTCACGAGACGTTGATCCTTCTAATTTTGGTTAAATTTCATGTCCTAGGCTCAATTGTCAAGGCCAGGAGACCATGACAATTACCCCCCAGCCCGTGACTTTTCACTGTTCTTCACTTTTTGGCGCTTTTCGACCTTCAATCGTCCCAAAACTCGTCTCACACTTCCCACACGTATTAGGACCTGAAATCGTTGAGGAACGACGATTCATCAAGTCAAACACTCAAGAAATGATGGGTAAAATATGTGTAATTAGCCCCGAATCAGTTTTGGTAATTATTTTCCCAAGTAATTATATATTTTAGTAATTCAATGATATATGAACATACGAGTTCTTCATGACATCTTCGTTAGTGCAATTTATAAAATAAAAAGATCATGGTCAGAAATTAGGTGTTAAACCTATTTCATTAGATGATACTAATCTTTTTTTGTGGTTAGTAATTCTTTTATACACGAAAGCTGGGTACGCTTTATTGGCCCAAAAGCTTCTTACTGTTTCATTTTATGTCGTTTAGTGCCAGCTCTCAACACAATTCCTCCCACAAACGCTTCTATTGGGCTTCCAGTGGAAAGCTCCGCTCTAACGTTATTTCCCACTCACCGACCGATCAGACCACCATGCTTTTCCCCTCTGCAGCTCTGACCACTTTACTGTACTTCTCCCATTTACCTCCTCTTCGCAGATGCTCGCTCACGTCATCGCCCATGCCGCATTCGCACAACTACTTGAACACGACACTAGCCATGTATTGTACGGACCAATCAACATCTCCACCAGTGTGCATAGAAGAAGTGATGTCTTCTCTGGTTTCAACCCACGACCTCATTCTCACCTCCTAATTGGAATTGGAATTGGAATTGGAATTCTTCCTCTCTCTGTTCCCATATTCCACCCCCAGTCCTCTCAACTCTCTTTTGCGCTCTTACCTCTTCTGCCTGCCTTTGCCAATGAAATTCCCCCTCTGGCCAAAATCATGCCTTCGCTATGCTATCCTTTTATTACCCAGTTATCGCATGTATGTATCATAAGATGGGCATGAGGATGCCGGTGGAAATGACGTTTGAGAGGACGGAGAGGACGATGTTGCCGGCACGGATGATGCGTTTCAGAAATGGAGGAGGGAGTACACAGAGGGAGTGGTGGCAGCGGAGGAGGATCAGGAAGAGGTAGGAGATGGAGGCAGCGACAAATAAGGGGTGGAGGCAAAGATGAGGGTTTCCTTTGTCTCCTTATCAGAATAGTCAGGTAGGTTTGTTCATTCTAACCAGAGATTTTATTTTTCCATTCCAGTTGATGCCTTGCTTTCTGTTGAACTGGCGCTTATCGTTATTTAGCCTTCTTCTAGGTAGAAAATAAGTTGAAAATAGCATACTAAGGCGTAGTGATGATCTCTACGAAGATGAAGAAAGAGGAGCTCGCTAGAGGTACAAAGCTGGATCCATCTGCTAATAATTCTACTGCTATTGCTCATCATATGGGGAACAAAGTTCTACCCATTAACAGCAAAGACAATGCTACTTTGACTCCACGGTTTCCCCGCTTTGAGGAATTCTAGAGATAGACGCCAAACAGGTCAAAGGGTACAGTAAGACCAATGCCATTTCCAAGATGAATGGCCTGCAGCTACCAAATTTGAGAAGACTGGGAAGTTCCTTGGCCGCAAGGTAACATCTTTTTTATGTATGAACATTTTTTGTATGCCTTTCAAGTGTGATCTTTTTATATCACTGTCAGGTTCTACCCCAATTTCGAAACCGAGGAACCTTGAAAGCAATGCGAGAGGATTCAGACTTAACGGGAAAAAATGGTTCAGCTTGATATGGGAAGTTGAAAGCAGCTTTACCATATTCTCAACACTGTACTCACTTTTTGCCCTGTCGCGGTCCAAGACAGAAAGGCAACTAGATCACCACTAATTTGGACTATGAATGCCTATACACATACATATATACTTTGTTTCATTCATGTTTCTTTTCATCCAAGGAATCTGAACAACCTTAATTTCACAGTTGTGGCACTGCAGCTTTCAACAAGGCTGGAAGGAGGCATCGAAGGAAAAAATGGTTACTTGCTATTTTTGTGCTTCCTTGGCGAGGAATCTATTGATTGCATTTCTGTAGGTTGCTTATTCTCTGTTGTTTCCTTGATATCACTTTGTTCTGTCATTAGTAGTACTTTGCTGTGTCATTAGCAGTAGTTGTCTCCCTAAGTCATTGAATGTTTGAAATTGATGGTGCAAATTAGGTATCAAGCTGCTGCTACAAATTTATTGTGCAATTTTCAGAGTTCGGTTATTAGGCTTTACCTCTACATGATGCAGATTCTACTCATCGAATTCGTTTGCCGATCTCTTCATTCATTTGCAATTGCTTCTCTCCTTTAATGCTTCTGATGTATTGTTCATCCGTCTATTTAAGATGTGTTTCTGTGTAACTCATTTTAGTTTGACCTCTGCTACATTTCGCATAAACATATGTGGCTTCGCATTATTTGTTCATCTTTAATCCATTAGTTTCATGTGCATGTTTCGGCTGCTTCAATCATTTTCTCATATCCCGTGTTTAATGCTTCCCTTTCACAAACCTCAGCTCTCTGATTGCTATTACCGCTTTTCTGTTTGTTTAGATCTGTGATTGTTTTGTTAAGTTTTGTGAATCTTCGATCTACACTGGATATATTCCCCTTTGAATAGTTTATTGGTAGCAGCTAGGCTCACATAAATCAAACAAACGGGCTCTCATTTTCTACAATCAATCAATTGTGTTTAGCTTCTTTGTTCTGCTATTTACAATCAATCAATTGTGTTTTCAATTTGTGGGAGGATCAATAGTAAGAGTACTTAACTGTCATTTGTCTCTCCATGATCAGCGTCTTTCCTAGGCAGTTTCATACTTAAGTCTGGCTATAACTTCCCTATTAAGGAATGGTTAGATCATTTATGCTTAAAATATAATGAGTACACCTTTGGATTGAGAAGCCAATACTTTCAAATGATGGATGTATCCCTTTTTGAAGAAAAATCAAATGAACAGGAGAATGTGCAAATTGCATATTGTACTCAACTACTGATGATTTTGACAGCTGGAAACGTACGAGGGTCTCTGTCTTGAACTGATTGAAGCTTTGTGGGTTTGTAACTTTGTGCAATTAGATGAGTTAATAAGGTTTCTTATGAACGATTGCTTTCTCCTTTTCAATTTCTAGATTTTCGTGTTTTCTACAAGTTTTGGACTGAATCGTAAGATTTTGTTGTGGCTCATGTTTCCTGTGCAGTTTCCTTTCCGTGTTTTGTATAGATTTAGGCTTCAATCTGGCCAGATGATGAAGACATATCGATGAGGATGTGAAGGACTTTTTGGTCTACAGTTAACAGTGATACAGATTCCATTTTTTTATGAATACAAATTCCAATTTTCTGTGCATTGTGGGTTTGATAGGCTGCTATTTAGCTAAACTGCAGCTGCACCTGCAGCTGAATGAAGGAAACTTCGCTTACAAAGTTATGGTGATTGCCTACCACAAATCTATAGGTTGTAACTGAACACTACAATGTTTTTTTGCATCGAATTGGGATGTCTTTTACTTCTGATCTTCCTCTTCCATTAGTCCATGAGGTCATTTTGCGTCTTGATTTTTTCCCATTGTTTCTTTTATTTAATGAAAAGCCAGCTATAGCCTATAGCTATGCAAGAGAAGGCATTATTATTGATATTATTATTTTTTATTTGGTGTTGGGTGTTGTTTTTGTCCATGTTTCTTTTACTAAAGGAAAGGCAGCTATTCACGAGGAAGGCAATTAGCTGCACTTTCAATACTGCAAAATTCAAGAATACAACAAACTTAGTTTACTATCAACTGAATTGCCTGCTAAATGATCGTTGCAAATTTAGTTCATGCGGCGTAGCCGTGGGTATTGATTCTAGTATCAAATATAATTTATCCTATTCACTAAGGAACTGTTTGGAGGTTGAGATTCTCCAAATTGATGCATTTAATCAATTTGTATATTATCATTTAATGATTGCATTAGAAAAATACAGAGGTTTAGATTGTGATTTTGTTGTAAATAAAAAAAGTACCCTTTTGACTTTTGAGGTTCAATGACTTTATAACCCTTCATTTACTAATATCTTTTGTCCTTCATATCTTTTGTCTCCCTAGGATAAAGAGAAGCTTCTTTGTGGGAATTTCTTCGGCTGCCCCAAACAAAGTCCAGAACAGGTAATTTCTTTGGCTATTCTGGCGGCTTGTGCGATTGATCTTTGTGGTAATAGATTCAAATGATTGGATTTTGAGTAAGGATGAATGATTTTGTTCGTGTTATTATAGTGGGAGTAGCTTCATCTCCCTCGTTGGCGGCTTCGAGCATGTTGTTCTCTCTCCATCAGTCACCAGCAACGCTATCATCATCCGTGGAGAGCCAGCTCGTCGAAGGGAGGAGTGGAGAGTTGTTCTGCTTTCAGTATGCTTCTCTAGAACTTTCTAGTGAGAGGAGAGACGTTGTTGATGTAAGCGTTATTAGATAAAGCAAAGGTATAAGGGACAAAGATGTAATAAAAAAATTGACAGAGAATCCCTTTGAAAATCCCTACTTTATTTCGATAGTTAGGGGTCGTTTGGAAGTTGTGATTGTTTAATAGATGTATTTTTGAGAATGCATGTATAATATTATACATGTATTGTCGAATTTGATGCATTGTAGAATACAACGTTTGGTATGTGTGATTGTGTATGTCGCATCAGCTAAAAATTGAGACAAAACAATCTCAACTCAACTATCTCAACAATCACAACTAAAAGTTGAGATATAACAATCACTCAAAATGAGTGATAGTTTCTGTCACATCATAGAAACAATCCATGTACTGTTTCTGCTAAAAAAACAAAAAAACGATGCATTGTAAACAATACATGCATAATGACAATCTCAACAAAACAATTGCAACTTCCAAACGACCCCTTAATGCCTCAATTTTAAGTGATAGTGGTGGGCAGTGGCAGAGCTAGTACATACCAAGGTGTGTCCCGGGATCCACCTTGACTCGGGAGATACTATGTATGTGTAAATACAATAGTTACATGTCCTTGAGAATTTTCACCTAAAATTCGTCAATATTTCTACCATCAAACAATAATTAAATAATGAATTTAGCTATCACATTATATATAATACATTCTAGTTTCTACATAAATAATAGTGTAAATACAATATATTAGTCAAAACTATGAAGCAACGGGAAATAATAGCTACAATTAGGGCTGGAAGTTTGGTACCAGTATTTGGGATATACCGAATACCGTACCGAATTTGTCTATATTTGGTATTACCGAATACACGTATTATTTTGAGGGATTGGGATTGGGATTGATTTTCAATTGTTATTCGGTATTAGGGATTACGGGACTAGACTACAATGGCCGCTACTTCCTCGTCGACGAGAAGGAGCAAAGGGAGGCAAGTAACATCGAAGGTAGCTGGCGACAAGAGGAAGCAGGGGGAAGGTCGGCATCTTTCAAAAAAAAAAGGGAAGGTCGGTAGTGTCGTCGGCCTTCTTCAACGACGAAGGGCGACCATTCAAAAGATCTTGATAGTGGTGGATTTTGAAATTCCCATTATAGGAACCCTAATCTTTCCGTCTAGAAATTCCTAATATGCCAATCATAATCGCTTCATTTGTTTTTAGGGTTCTACTTCGAGTAATGGTCGTTGAAAAAGTAGACACCGCCATTAACGAACTCCAAAACTCCCATAAACTTTTCATCTCCCTCCCCGACGGCGGGGAGAATATCCCAAGCCTGTCGCTTCACCAACTATGCGTTGCCCACGACGAGTTGGGCAGCGACTGGGGCTCAACGTCGAGGGGCACCTGTTCGGATTCACCACGCGCTCGACGACGTCATCTCCCTCATGTCGATGCTGCTCGCCGACTGATGTAAGTCAGAGAATGAATGAGAGGAGGAAGAATTGGGCAGTGCAACGGAGGTTGGAAGAGAAAGGGGATAAGAAGACCTCGATAGTGAGAATAGGAAGGGGATAAGAATTCTCTATTCTATTTTTTTTAGTTTTTAAAATGATAAAGAAAAATAAAAATTTATTATAATTGAGTTGGCGCTGATGTGGCAGCTTAGCTGTAAATCCGTCCAACAAACCGTTCGTGTTAACTAGCTATTAGCCATATCTTGACCTGCAACAATAATTATGGCTAACATTAGTATTTTCATTATTGTGGCTATTATTTCTGTTGCTTAATAGTTATGGCTCATAGGCTCGTACTAATGAAGAGAGTGCGCATCATGAGGTATATTGTATTTATCCTAAATAATATTAGTACAAAATATAACTTCATCCTCCAGACCTCAAATTCTTAATTTATTCGTAATCTATCACCAAAACCTCCTTTTCTTGAAACTCGCTAGATTTTTTTTATCCTTATAATGAATTCTCTGAAGATAATATATTAGGTTTTGAACCTCAACTAGATTATTGTAGATATATTTTGATGTGAAAATAGGCTAGATGTTGTCTAAAACTATATAGAATTCTGAGTTCTTTTCGAATCATGGTCAATGAAAGAAATAACTTATCATTGTTGCTAACTAAGGCTCCCTTGCAAGTGTTGAAAGGACATTTGAAAAGACACATTTATCCTTCCTTTTAGATACAAAAGTCAATCACATATAAAAGTTGATAAGGGCATAAAAGAGAAGAAAAGTTGATTCACAATCTCAGCAATCTCACCATAAAGTTGAGATTCTAAATCATTCATTTTGAATGATTTCAAATGTCACATCAACAATGAAATACATGCATTGTGTTTTATTTTGCAACAAAAAAACAATGCATTTTCTACAATACATGTATTCATTAAATACGTCATTTAGATATGCATTTACCAAACGACCTCTAAATTATTTCTTTGGAGGTGTATTGGCAAACCGCCACGACAGATTCATCATGCTTGGAGGGGTTCTACCACCAGCAACGTCTAAGAACTTTACAGCTTCAGTAACCTCTGCAAGTTCCTCTTCTGAAAGTTTGACCTTCAAGGAGCCAATGTTTTCCTCCAGGTTTCTAATCTTGGTAGTACCTAAGGAGAGTCACAAAACCCAACATTGTCGTCCCTAATCCATGGAAGAAGATATCAATGGCTAAGAAGTTACTTAAGTTCAGGATTTCAATTTAATTACCAGGAATGGGCACAACATCATCTCCATGATGGAGAACCCAAGCAAGTGCCAGTTGAGAAGGAGTGCAACCATGCTTCTTAGCCAGGCTTTCGATCCTCAGATAAATAGCCTTGTTCTTGTCCAAGTTCTCTCCAAGGAACCGAGGATGCATAGACTGAAAGAACACGAGCATCGAAATTTGAAAAAAGGTATCTTCATTCGATTTGAACCAAGAAATGCAGTCAATTTTTTGCTGAAACATACCAGTAAACTTTCAGCAGAAAGAGTTTCCACAACTGCTTTGCCTGCAAAAAAACCATGACCTAGCGGACTGTAGGAGACTATTCCAATCCCAAGTTCCCTGCAGACCACAGAAAACTATCAGCAAAACTATTCCTTAAGACCATTTAAGAACATCGAGGGGTGACAATATTATGAACGTTGATTGACCTGCAGAGAGGGACGATCTCATCCTCAATATCACGAGTCCAAAGGGACCACTCCATTTGTAAAGCTGTGATGGGATGGACTGCATGTGCTCTCCTTACGGTATCAGGACTAGCCTCGGACAGCCCTACGTACCTAATTTTCCCCTCTTCTACCAGCTTCTTGAGCTCACCCATCTGCCAATTGAAAACCCCATATAAGGTCGCTGAAAATGAAGATCCTAAAGCTTGTAAGCAAGAAGGCATTTTCAGTTTTCACTCACGGTTTCTTCAATGGGAACCGATGTATCTACCCGATGCTGATAGTAGAGATCAATGTAGTCAACCCCAAGGCGCTTCAAGCTCCCCTCGCAACTCGAACGAACGTACTCAGGGGTACCATTTATTGTGAAGCCAGAAGATTCTAACTCTATCTTAGCAATACCAAACTTTGTGGCTACCTGAACTTTCTCTCTGGGTAGCTGCTTTAACGCCTGGAGAAAGACGAACATTCAATTTTCTCCAACAGGATTTTGAAGAAGCACTTTCCCATTTGAAATTTCCTCTACCCAGGAGCCAACTTTACAGTCTAAAAAGATTAAAACATAGCAAAAGTGAAACATTTTTTAGTTATAAGAGTTAGGGCTCACCATTCCAACAAGAATCTCATTGGCATGGGATCCATATACATCGGCTGTGTCGAAGAATGTGACCCCTTTGCTGAAGGCATTCTTCAAGATTGAGATTCCATCCTCATCAGGAAGTGGAGCATTGTAGATTCCACTCAAGCTCATAGCCCCGAACCCCAACTTCGAGACCTGGTCAAAAACGAGACCCATATGAACCGCACTTAACCTCATTTGATTCCTTGCTAAGGAAAATTCCTAAAATTCATAATCATATTCTGGAACTAGGTTTACTAATCCAGCCATGCTATGTCTGCTGCAAAACATTTCAGGCCCTTTTTCCCTTCAAACTAGAGGCGTAGGAAGCTAGGAGTTTGAATCTCACCTCTAGTCCTTGACTTCCAAGTTTGACTCTTGGAACAAGGAACTGCTCAGCCTCCATTTTATTCAAGAGCTTGTAGTGATCCTCTTCTTCTTGTTTTTTTTTTGGTAGAACTGTAGTGATCTTCTGCAAAACGAAAAAAGGGGGAAACTTTAGCAGCTGATGGAAGTTTTGGAGTGGATGAACAGAAAAAGGAGAAGCTTGCTGGCTACCTGAGTTGAGCACTTGAACTTCAAGGCTTTAGAGTAGTTTTATGCAAAGAAAAGATGTGAAAATAGATCAGTCAACGAAAGAAGAAAATGGAAGGATGGTGTGGGTCTGTTGGAGTTCTTGCTTCTTCAACAAGAGTAGTAGGTAGATAGAGGCGGCCCGGGGAGCGGAGACTCTTGGGGAAAGGGAAAAAAGAGCAGGCATCAGCAGCCAGCTGGTAATCCAATCCACTTCTTAACAACTTCAGCATCTATCTTGGCCAGTTGGACAAACAAAAAAAAAATGCAAAAATCGTCAGATTCTCTCGTTAGGACTTAGAGCCCTCTCTATGACGTCACTCTCCCTAGCCTTGGAGCTGGTCTCGCTGACTTAGAGCCCTCTCTATGAATACTGAAGTGGCTTGGTTCTTAGGCAAAAACTGGCCAGAACTCGCAAACTTCCCAGTGAATCAGCTAATCAGGTTCATTGTTGCTTGGCGGTAGTGATGTATTAGGAAACCTCCATGGGTGCTGATAAAAGCAGTCAACCTAACTCATAGAAATTCATCGGCTGTAACAGAGGTTTTACATTGTAAATTGATATCTCCATGTGTTTTGGCATTGTGATCTTGTCATTGCCGGTAGAGGAAATGACTAAGCTCTTCAGCTTGGAGTCCTACATGATGCAAAATGGTTGAGAGAATAGCTAATAAGCTAACCATTTCCGTCAATGGATGAACACAATTACAAAAATGACAAATATTACACACAGACAAGGTTCATGCTTCCTTACTGTAGATTAGAGCAAATCCTTCTCTAAATGCAGAACATCTTCCGTTGAAAACAAAGTTATTTCTTAGGTGTATTGGCAAACTGCCATGATAGATTCATCATGCTTTCATAAGTTCTAATACCAGCAACATCTTCGAGCTGTACTGCATCAGTAACCTCTTTAAGTCCCTCTTCCGAAAGTTTGATCTTCAAGGAGCCTATGTTTTCCTCCAAGTTCTTAGTCTTAGTAGTACCTAACAATCAGAAAACCCGGACATTGTCACGCCTCCCTCAATTTGAAATCAAATCAACACGGAAGAAGATATTGATGGTAAAGAAAGAAAGGTGACTGAATTCAAAGGCAAGAGGACAAGTTTCACAATTACCCGGAATAGGCACAACATCATCCCCATGATGGAGAACCCAAGCAAGTGCCAATTGAGAGGGAGAGCAAGAATGCTTCTTAGCAAGGTTTTCCAACCTAATGTAGATAGCCTTGTTTTTGTTGAAGTTCTCTCCAACAAACCGAGGATGTGTAGCCTAAAAACATTATATTTGAAATTGAAACAATATTCCGTTCTATTGAAGCAAGAAAAGTATCAGCAAAACATACCAAAAAACTGCCAGCAGGCAAAGCTTCAACGACTGCCTTGCCTGCAAAAAAGCCTCGACCAAGAGGGCTGTAAGGAACTATCCCAATCCCGAGTTCCCTGGAGAGCAGAAAAAACTATCAGCAAACTTTGATACGATTTCACAACACAACGTTAATGGTGCAATTCATGAATACGACCTGCAGAGAGGGACTATCCCATCCTCAATGTCACGAGTCCAAAGGGACCACTCCATTTGTAAAGCTGTAATGGGATGTACTTCATGAGCTCTCCTTATCGTATATGGGCTGGCCTCAGAAAGCCCAATGTACTTAATTTTCCCTTCTTCTACAAGCTTCTTGAGCTCACCCATCTACCAATCGAAACACCATAACAGGTCACTAAAAATGAAGAATCTGAAGCATCCAAGCAGAGGATTTCAGTTTTTCACTCACTGTTTCTTCAATGGGGACAGATATATCAACCCGGTGCTGATAATAGAGATCGATAGAGTCAACTCCAAGGCGCTCCAAGCTCCCCTGGCAACTCGAACGAACATACTCAGCTGTACCCTTTGCTATCATGCCAGAAGCTTCCATCTTAAAGACACCAAACTTCGTGGCGACCTGAACTTGCTCTCTTGGTAGCTGCTTTAAGGCCTGTGGATAAAAGCATTCAACTTTCTTCAACGGAAATTGAAGAAGCACTTCCCCACTCGAATGTTTCACATTTACTACCCATAAACCAAATTAGCAGACTTCTTTTTCGGACAACAGAAGACCAGTAAAACATTGCAAATGTCATAAGAATTAGGGTTTACCTTTCCAACAAGAATCTCATTGGCATGCGATCCATACACATCATCTGTGTCAAAGAATGTGACTCCCTTGCTGAAGGCATACGTCAAGAGTGAAATTCCTTCCTCATCAGTCATTGGAGCATTGTAGA